AGGAGCAATAGCAGTATAACAATGTAATATGATTTGGACAGAGGAAAGACATGGGATTGGCAGCTCCCTCTTGCGTGCCAGGAATCCAAAAGTTAAGCAGAACCCTCAGGCAGAAATTCTTGGCATGATGTTGTTTGGCTAAGCAGAAAGGGTGGCATCAAATGTGTCTTGTCTTTCTAGTCTTCAAAAGTGACCCAGTGTGTCTTCTTTGCCACAGAAAATACAGTAGTAATGTTTCACAGTGTTCATATTTTATCCATGAACAGACATACTTGTTCCTTTCAGAGCCCTAGGATGGATAATGCTTATTTATAATCAGTGAAAATTGTTGAATCAGATTCAGTTTCTTGAAAGCTGTAGGAGACTTCGGTTTCTCAGTGTGTCATTCTGGTCAAAGCTATAATTAAATGTGTTTCTTTTTTCATAATGGACTGGGTACATATTTTATACAAACTTTTACTGCACCCATGTAGAAAAGATGGTCATGACTGAGGAAAATTAATGTCAATCAGCACACAGAGAACTTGTTGTTCACATGGTCTTATGAAAGCCAGGAGGTCTGTCAACTTCGGAATTAGATTTCAATAAAGGGCCCTTGTACATTTGAGTGGAAAATCACATTCTCCCCTACTACTTTGATGGAGAACAGGCTGGAATGAAGCCGTTAAGACAAGAATTGGCAAGGGGTATGTGTAGGTGTGTGTGCTTGCGTGCGCTTGTGTTCACTTGTGTATATGTATAAAGTGGCAGACATTCAGACACCAAGAAGATTATTGCACAATAGAATGATAGCCTGTTTATGTTGGAAATAGGAAACTTCTTAAAGCCTCCACTAGTTGTTAGGTATATAATTCAGATTGCTTACTGTATTGTATATGTGTGTATTGGTATGCAGTTTTCCTTAACTCTATGTTGTGGGAGGGGCTGTAGACCATGTAATCAGATCTGCGCTTGTATAGGACTCAGACTCCATTTTAGAAACAGTATGCTTTCAGGCTCCAGTAGAAGCAGAAGCCACCAGTGGTTCTCAACCTGGTGTCTCCAGATGTTTTTGGCCTTCAACTCCCAGAAATCCTAACAGCTGCTAAACTGGCTGGGATTTCTGGGAGTTATAGGCAAACATCTGGGGAACCCAGGTTGAGAACCATTGTGTTAGACTTTTAGTGTAGAAACAAGAGACTCTATTGGACTCTCAGAACACAGAGATGCTTTAGACAATGGACTGTTGATTCTATGAAGGATGCCCTGTGTTATCAACACAGAGAAACTACTTCAAATCATCTGTAACTGGACTGATAAGCAATGTACCTATATGCTGAATACATTATGTTTGTGAGTAAGCCAAATACGTTACTTCTAAGGAAGTCTATTTATTTTTGGTCTCTTGAGAGCATGATTTAAACCAAGGTATTTTAAGGGAGAGTAGACTTTTTGGGCAATTGAAATAACACTTCTGAAACTCTGCTACATATGTTTGTGTGTACATGTGCGCGCGCGCATTGGCATATCTTCGTCCCTAAGAGTTCAAAGAGATATCTAGGTATATTAGTAACTGCTGAGAAACCTAATTGTCTTGAATGAATACTAGTGGACATTTACCACTATGGAGAAGGTTGACACGTGAGTAGTTGTGGGTTAGTTATGTGATCCATATGGAGTGGTGTCGGAGGTCATGGGGTTGGGTTCACGGGTGTGGGGTTAGAGGGACAATAAATGTTAATGTATTATAACTGTACAGTCAAAGTTGATTTTTTATATGTTTAATGAGCGCTGACTGTATACCATTCTGTAAACTTGCATACTCTTTTGTATATATTTTTTTCTTTTTTTTCTTTTTTTCTCTTTTTTTTTTAACTTATTTCGGTTTTCCTTTGGTGTTGGTTTTGTTTTCTGAATGAACCATAAACCAATAAAAAAACTACAAAAAAAAGAGAGAAGGTTGACTCATGTGAGTTTTTAACTCTTCTCAGGGAGATTCCTGATTTTCTCAAAATGGTGATGAATGCCATTTTCCCAAAAGGTTATGACATCATTTTTCCAATTGGTTATGATTTCTAGCAAGCTCGTGCCTTTCCAAAGATCATAATTTCTCCAAAAGGTGATGGAGATCAGCATTTTCCAAAAGGTTAGGTGTCACAGCCCCATTTGCCATGAAGATGGGATCGCATCAGATATGCCCGTCTTCCTGGCACACGATCTCCTTATACAGGCAAAAATTGGTGTACTTTGGGTTTTAACTATATCTTTGGAAATTCAAAAGTGCCTCATGTGAGGAAATATTTTGTGCTTTATGTTAAAGTAAGAATTTATATTCAGTTTTATGTTTGGAAAGACCCTCAGAAAGATTTGAATATGCAAAAAACAGACTGGATACCCTACTCTCAAGCTCATAATTTAAAACAGTGTGAGACAAAAAGGAATGTAGAATGAGAAAATTCAGGCACATCTTAATGGGGTTCCTCAGTCTGGGGAACAGCTAGGGAGAGGTGAGTCCCTGGGAACTGGTTTATCAGGAGACATGTTGGTGTCCTTGTTTTTCTTCTTTCCTTTTGATCTAATGTCAGGGTTGGCAGATTATGATAAATTCTTTAAACTCAACACATTCTTTTTCCCTCTGTGTTAGGCCTGAAGTGTGGGAATCAATAAGACATTTTCTTCTTCAGACTATGAAGAGCTGATATGAGTTGTAATACTTAGATATTGATAATAGTAATGTGAGGCTTTCTTGCACTGCTTTTATGCAGTCAAAGTGACTACGGTATAAAATACTCCTGATTACCATAATTTAAAGTGATTATATCCAGGGACTTCATCACACTGAAACAGGGGAGTGTTTGTTAGAGCAGAGCTCAGTCATACTCCATTTTGAATAAAACAGATGATTTCCCTACCTTTTTCACACTATTAAATGCATCTGTGTTACTCAGTTGTAATCAGCATTCTTTCAATAGATTTTTTCCCCATCATACTGTAAACTATAACTCCCAGGAGGAGTCTGTCACATGGAGCCATGACATTTAAAGTGGGGTGCAAGGTCATTCATTCCATACTTCAAATGCACCAAGAAAGGATAATAATAATAATAATAATAATAATAATAATAATAATAATAATAATAATGGAATTTAAAAGTGTCCTGACTTAAAATGGATTGTGATTTTGTCAGTGTTTATTGTTTTCAAATGCCGGCTGAGATCTTTTGGCACGGCACCCAGATTACCACATTACCACATTAATTCTCCAGTGCAGAGAAGTTTTGAAACACAATACACCAGACCTGATGATTGTGGAAAAGAAAAAAAGTTTGGATTATTGATGTTGCCATACCAGGTGACAGTCAAATTGACGAAAAACAACAGGAAAAACTCAGCCGGTATCAGGACCTCAAAAGCAAACTGCAAAGGCTCTGGCATAAACCAGTACAGGTGCGCCCAGTGGTCACACACTGGGTGCCATGCCAAAAGATCTCAGCTGCCATTTGAAAAATCATGATCTGCCAATTGTAAAAGGCCACCTTACTTGGATCTGTGCACATCATTCGAAAATACATCATACAGTCCTAAACGCTTCGGAAGTGTTCGGCTTGTGATTTTGTGATATGAAATCCAGCATATAGATCTTGTTTGCTGTGCCATACTGTGTTTTGTGTCAGTATAATAATAATTGGCATTTAAAATGGTTCCTGACTGCGTTTATTCTCCAGTGCAGATGCATCCAGAGAAGGGTATGTACCTTAGAAAACTATAACTCCCAGGACTGCATAGTATGGAGCTATGGTATTTAAATTAGGGTCCAAGAACATTAATTCTATAGTGTAAATGCACCCAGAGAAGGGCATGGACCTTGGTAAACTATAATTCCCAGGACTACCGCATGGAGAAATGGCATACTAATAATAATAATCCTTCTCTCCTGGCTTTCCCATGCAACACAATGCACAGACATATCACAAAAGGAAAGGAATGAAAGAAAAGGACCCAGAAAGGCTATTTTTAGAAATAAATTGTTCTGGCAAAATAAAAACTCGGTGAGCCAAAGGTAATGCTTTCCCTAACAAGGATACTTTTGGCTCTTGTCACAATTTCTCCTCCCACATACTGAATTGGGAAACGTTTCATTTTAAACTTGAGAGCAATTAATGCCATCATATCTGGATCATTACCAAAGGTCCACTTCCTCACCACCTCCTGAAATGTTTGAAAAGAATGCTGGCCCCCACGCTAAAAATACACAAAAAATGCTCTATCCTACACTTGAACCCAATGTGATTAATACAGTAGGTTACTGGATTTTAAGTGTAGCATTCAGTAGAATTTAGTTATTAGTTATTGTATTGGGAGCAAACCAGGGGTACAGTTGTATTGTATTTTTTTTAAAAAAAACAAAATTTGAAAACTGGGCATTATATTAAATGTCCTTTGACCAGTCGCTGGCCACTTGGAGTGCCTCTGGTGTTGCTATAAGATGGAATGTAGTAAATGTAATGAAGTGACAGGCTTTTACATACACACACTCAAACACACACGGCAGAGTGCACATTGGAGCATGGCACCTTTAAGATGAATATGTTGTATTTGGCAAAAGGTTTCAAAAACCACATCCTATTTCTGAGGTAAACAATGTTACCTCAGTTTGCAGATTTGTTACAAAAACAATCTTCAAACTGAGGCAACATTCTTTGAATTGAACAAATTGCACTACAGCACATAAGTGCTTGTGTCAAATCAAATCTGTTCGTCCACAAACTTGTAATATTTCTCCTTCATTCTAAAAAGTTTTGCTTTGGGCAGAGTCAGTTGGCTCAAGTACCAGATTTTCTCAGAGTGCGGCTGAATAAATGGATGCATTGCTAAAGAAGGCAGCTTGGATCTTTTGAGAGTTCTCTCCGCTGGGTGTGGAGGGGAGATGGAGTGAGTGAGCTCTCCAAAGAGTAGAGAAAGAGAACCACCCAGAGAAGAGGAGGGGCAAAGGGGGGGACAGGGAGGAGCAGACCCGGGAAGCTGAGAGGCCCCAGTGCAGGAAAGACCCTTAAGCTGCAGATGTTTGGCAGCTGCAGGCAGAGGAAGTGCCTGAGAAGGAGGGGTGAGCATTGCTCGGCTGCGGAAGGCACAGCAAGGGAGACTGGAGCAACCGGAGGCCTTGGGGTTACAGCATGCCTCTCCCACCACCCCCTTCCTCGCCGCCACCCCCTTGCCCAGCATCTCGAGAGTCTCTGAGTTGCAACAGGGACTTTCTGCAAAGTTTGTTGGGAGGGCTGCGCATTGCACAGCTGCTGTCTGGTGCTATCTGCTGGGTGACTTTAGCAGCACACAAGTATGAAGGCGCTACCTACTTTGCAGTCTTTGCGGCTGTTCTGGTATGGCTGCTAACCTTGGTGATCTTTGGGCTCAGCCTGTTGGGCCGCTGGTCTCTCGTGCCGGTGTTGGGAACCCGGTGGCTCTTGACAAACATTGTGCATGACCTGTTCTTTGGAGTCATCCTCTTTACAGCCGCTGCAGGTATCATGGGGCATAAGGCCCAGTGGTTCAGCTATTGCAACCTGCCACACTATCCTCATCCTTGCAGTTATGGTGCCTATGTGACTGCGGCTGTCTTTGCTGGCATCGCTGCCTTCCTATACCTGCTTTCAGGATTCTACTGCTTGGCACGGCGTTTTCAGGGACACCAGGATATCAACTAAGAGATGTGAAAGAAAGATGAAGAGAGATGGACAGGCCCTCTTCAGCCAGCCAGACAAGTCTCACACGTGTCACCTTCAAGATGAACATGTTTTATTTGACCAAAGATTTCAACGGTTACATCCCATTTCATCAGATGGAATGAGATGTAGTCCACAGACTGCTTACTGTTCAAGACCCATCATTATCTTCCTGGTGGACAAACAACACCTCTTCTTGGTTGCTCTTGCACTGATGTTGCCTATAGACAATCTGACTCTCTTCATCAATGGATGAATAATAGTTCCTTTCAGCATGCAGAAGCAACAAATGGTCTGTACTTTGGTCTTCTTTATTTTTTTATTTTTCCTTCCGTTTGCACTGGAAGCCTGGAAATATTTGACCTGAGCTGGGATTCCAACATATGCGAATACTGGAGAAAGTCATCCAGTGTTATTTACAGCCCTTACAAGAACAGATTTAATTTAGTTGGTAGTCCTTGTTCGTGTTTTTATAGCATCTACATAGGGTCTAATTCACTTCTGTTCACTCAATTCAATTCATGCTCAGTAATCTTGAGTATGCTTTAGGGTTCCTCATTGGATTTATTGTTGATATTTTAAAATTGAACTACAATGTCTGTTATTCCCAACAAACATTAATGTGTTGTGGGGATTCTGGGAAGTATCGGCCAAAATAACATTTCCAAAGTCACTTAAATATTATTTCTTTCTACTTCAGCTCTTACAAACAAAAGTTTTAATGTCATTCCCAAAGGCTTCTGTTACTTTATTTTTATTTTGTTCAATGGCACTTGATAAGATATTTATGACTTATGGTTTCTTTTTAAACTTACACATGTATATAAACCTGATATGAATATTTTAGCTTTTATAGCATAGCATTACTCTAGTTACCAGCTTTTTTTTTTAAATTTCTATGAATAGAGGTATAAAAGCTCATGCCTGATGCAAACCTGAACTCTCAGAAGCTTCAAATTTAATTTGTGGAATTAAAATAATAATAAATTTATTTCTTACCTTCCTCTACTCATGGAATAAGAAATATATTGCCTTTTTTGTTATTATTTTTAATACACCCCAAACCCAGGGGCTGGCATCAAATCTGCACTCTAGAACACACTAATGTTCCAAGGTTTTCTTTTGAGCCCTAGCACCAGTTAGTGTAAATGTTGATCTCATCACACTATTTCATCACTTGACATTTCACAGGCCATTTGTTTCATATGGGACTCAGCCATCCCACTAAATAGTAGGACATATTAGAGACATCTGCAGTGCACATACTGGTAGGACAAAAAAAGAAGAAGAAGAAGAAGAGAGAAATGGGAAGGATGGACTTATTATTATCAACTAAGATGAGGTTGGTGGTTCGAATCTGGAGTAAACTCCTGCTGTTAGGCCCAGCTTCTGCCAACCTAGCACTTTGTTAACATGCAAATGTGAGTAGATCAATAGGTACCGCCTTGGCAGGAAGGTAACGGCACTCCATGCAGTCATGCTGGCCACATGACCTTGGAGGTGTCTATGGACAACGCCAGCTCTTTGTCTTAGAAATGGAGATGAGCAACACCACCCAGAGTCAGACACTACTAGATTTAATGTCAAGGGGAAACCTTTACCTTTATCTTAAAATGAGAACAGGAAGCTGCATGAATAAGGATCTATGTGGCTGGTGACCTACAGGCTTGGATCCAATCTTGATGTTGGCTGTCTTTAGGAAACAATTGTTTGGATGTTGAGGTTTTGAAATTCATGCTCTCTGAACTAATACTTTCAGACTTCCAAAAATGCTCAAGATCAGGTACTCAATGAAGAAACTAATTTTATAGTGAAGTATAGAGGTATATTTCACTCTCTAGATTGTGATCACACTTGCATGGCCATGTATCTTTCTGATGTCTTAGCAGAGGCATCCCTGGAAGAGATATCTGCACAATTTCTTTCTGAGTTAAATAAATCCTACCCTGGGTGAAGCATATAGTTTTATGGCTCCAGAGCAGTAGAAGGGAAAGCTGTAGGCAAGAAAGAGCAAGCAGTTGCTAGGCCAACACATTAAGAACTGTAATAACTCAAAAAGCTGGCATTTGGTCAGAAAAGGGTGGGGATAGTCTTTGCCTCATAACAAGGAACAAAAGTTAAATTCTATAGAAAGGTTCAGGGTCTAGAGTGGATTATTCATTAGCATCTATATTGTGACCTAAAGACTTTTTGTTAACCAAAATGAAGAACAAAATGGCATTCCAAGTGTGGAATCTGAGCAAGCAAATAGCTTAATATTTTTAGTGATGTTGTTAGCTTGTAGGACCTTCAGGGTACATCTGAGACCAGTAGGCCAGTTTAAGGGTTCGAGAAAACCTTACCTATAAGAGAACATGGGGCCTTTCCACACAACCCTATATCCCAGAAATCAATGCAGAAAATCCCACATTATCTGAGTGTGGACTCAGTTCAAAGTAGATATTGTGGGATTTTCTGCCTTGATATTCTGGGATATAGGGCTGTGTGGAAGGGCCCATGGATGATCAGGTGAGCTCGTCCTTCCTGCCATCTTCATTCTGATTATAAGACCAGTCTTCTCTGTCTGCTACCACAGCAGCAAATTATGTTACTAGATTTCACAGTATCTAAGATATGATACCTGTTGCCATTCTAACCTTTGAGGCAGGGTGAATCAGCACAACCAGTTCATACCATATGAACTGAAAGCTTTAGCATTCCGACAGATGTTCATGCATTGCTTTTTTCCACTGCCTGTTCTTGAAGGGGAAAGTGCCTCTGAACTACAAATGTGTCTTGGGGGAGAAAATCCCCCCCCCTCCCAAGAAAAACCTTCTGTGATTTACCTAATCATGCCAAGCTTCTGAGCAACTACTATGACTAAATTATAAGAGAGTTGTTGAGTCTCCATCTCCCTTCAACAAGGGATACATTCCAGTAATACCACATGGGAAGTCCACTTTGCTTGCCCTTGTCAAATGACTTAGTTTGGATTACAGGTTTCCAGAAGTCACCTCTGGACATTTGGAAAGTTTGATTCTATACTTAATCAAGCAGAAATCTCAGCAGTTTTTGTCTTCATTGTTGTGCCATGCTAAGGCAGTTTGAGTAGCCCCAGCATGAGGCACAGGGGAATCTTTCTGTGCCAGAAATCCAGTTTTCTTCTTGGATCAGCTGGAGTAGACTGTTTGACCAGGAGAAATGACTGCTATGACCGGTGCCGAAGAATTTATGTGACACCACGTTAACCCAGAGGTGAGAATCTGTATACTTTCAAATGGAGGAAGTACTCTTTAAATGCTAGACTGGGGACACACGTGAATCATGATTAATTTCGGGTTGGAAGAAGGAAGCCCAGAGAGATCATCCCATAAATGCAGATTGTTCTACCATGCTTAACAAAAATAAGACATTCCCTAAAAATAAGCCACAGTGTGTTTTCTTGAGGAAAAATTATATAACATAGTATCTTATTTCTGGGGGAAAATGGTACTTATATGGAACAGACCAAATGTGGAGGTGATGGAAAGAGAATGGGACGTCAACCTTCATAACAGAGAACAGGCTAGTTAATATAATGAGGGTCATGCTAATCTTGTTTGGGGTTAAAAATAAAGGAATGTACAAAATGACCTTTTTAGATTACAGCTCACAGCTGAGAGGTTCTGGAAGTTCTGATCCAGAAAAAGTAGGTTTCTCAAGCTCTGAAAGGTAGCTTTTCCAAGCAGGAGAGACAGTTTGCAGGAAGCAAGACAGGATCCTGCTTTGTTGCAAGTTTCAAAAGCTGAATTGACACCTGTCAGAAATATGGTTTCTTGCTGTGGTAGGGTGTTGAATTAAATTATGGAGATCCCTTCCAATTCTAAGATTTGAGCAGGGAAGCTGATGGTTGTTTTTTTGTGGTATCAAAGACTGTCTTTTTCCCCTTGTAGGTGACAAGGACATTGTTTTGCTTGGAGTTCTGAGGCTTAGACATCATGAATCCCTAAAACTGCTTGACTCAAAAACAAGTGCTCCAGATCCATCAAGCAGAGGAAGCTTCTGAGAAGAAAAGCCTACAATATTACTTCTCCATGTCCCATTGCTTTGTTTGGGAGAGGGGAGGTTTGTGTACATGTATGGATTGCAACTTCCCTTATAGCTGCTGTTTGATCTCAAGCAAATATTAAGTAAATTTATAGATATCCACACTTAATATTTTGTGCCACAGTATGTTACTGCTGGAAACTGAGTGAAGGCCAGGCCTCTTTTAAGATAAATTAAGTCTATGGTTCTCAATTTTTGGTCCTTTAAATGTTTTGGCCTCCATCATGGCCAGTAGCTAGGGTTTGGGGGCAGATGACGTCTCGACTATTTAGTACTGTATATGATACAAGTTTAAATAATGAGGCTTTCCAAATTGCTCCTACTAAATTTGTCCCATTTTATCCTAATCCCATACCTCATTGCCTGTACCAGAATCTAATTTGGACATGGCTTTACCCCAAAAATTACATTCCAGAGCCTTCCTTGTATTTTGTAGCGAATTCTTCTTGTTAATAAAATTGTGTGAAGAACACAGTTGGTTATCTTTCAAAGTGTGTTTGCAATAGTTCAATTCTTTCAACCTCATATGTGGAAGAGGGTAAGTACATATATCTGGAAAATAGTAGATAAGAAGCAGAGCTCAGAAAATATCATTTTTTTGGGTGGGGGCATTGGTGGATTAGAGCTGGTCTACTGCTTATGGGATTCCAGGAGCTGCAGTCCAAAAAAGGAACTTGTTTGCTATTCTGAGTAAAGATAACAATTCATCTGACCAAAAAATGGAGAAAGCAATTCTCCACCAGATGCTTCGTGTACTATTATTGCTGGACCTCCTCTTAAACCTCAAAATAGAAAGGTTCATCCTTGATGCTTTTTACTCAAATTTCTCTACTGTCCAAAGGCTAAAAATATGAATTGAGGAAACTGTGGTTCAAGAATTGCACACAGCCTGTGACTTGATTATATGTGGCCTTAGTTTCACCTGCTTTGCCAGATGTTGTGTGTCAACACTTGCTTTCTGGACTGATCCTTTGGGAAGCATTTCCTGTTCTATTTTGTATGGAAGAGGAAAGCGGGTGATTGGGTGGACCGGCAAAGTGGTGGCCTGGAGAGAGAGAAAGATCTGTGAACATGGCATTTACTTTGTGTGCTTACTTTGCCTACCATCATGTGCACAGTTTCTGGTTGAATTATCCCTTGATTCAGCAGCCATGCATAACAAAATGCTGCTGTACTCCTGCTATAGTGTTTTATCCTTGGCCAGACCACTTTAGCTTGTCCATGTCCATTAACCTTTACACTTATACAGAACAGATCTTACATGCCTTGCATCTGTCTGGGCATTACAAGATATCAAGTAGAAATCTGTCTTGGAGATTGCATTCAAATAATTTGTAGTAATCTTATAGGAGTCTTCTGCCAGTTTATTTCCTCATATGCAGATGGTTTTGACTTTCCTCCATGTAGGTTAATACTTGTTTAACTTACATTGCCTTTCACCTGGAAACCAGTGTCCTATACTGGATACATACACACCAGTACACACTTCTTACCCTGCACTAAGGTCTAGATCAAATTATCTGTTTCCGCTAGAAAGAACCAAGAAATCAACAGGAATCTGGTAAGTCAACACTTTCTCAACAAGTTTCATTGATAGAATATTTCTATTCTAGTTGGGACTCACAACTGGTTTTAAAGGAATTGAAATCGTGCACCTTTGGAGGTGTATAGTGGGGTCCTTGCCCCCACCAACCCTGTAAAAGTCTTGACAACCTCCCTTTTTTGGCCTAAAAACTTTTTTTAAGTGAAAACACTATTTGATTGTACTTTTCCTGCATGGCAGGGGGATGGACTAGATGGCCCATGTGGTTTCTTCCAACTCTATTATTCTATGATTCTTTGTGGCACTACCTATCTCATCCTGTTTTGCAATGTTGCCATTGAAACAGAAGTGATGCATCGTCACCTTTCCTCATTCTGGTGCCCTTCAGATCTGTTGGGCTACAACACCCAGAGTCC